TATTGTCTTGCTTTTCGACCATGTTGCGACGGCACAATCAACTTGAATGGCCTGTATATAGAGTGGTCCCATTCTTTGATATGCACTTCGTACCTTCAAAGTGCAAAGTGTTGCTGCAGGACCACCAGCCACTTTATGACCCCTTGACCCTCACTGACGAGGAACTCGAGATAGTTGATCAATTCACTTATCTTGGCAGCTGCATCAGCAGTGATGGGCGCATAGAAACTGACGTCAGCTCCCGCATTGCAAAGGCCAGAGCTGCCTTCTTGAACCTCCGGCATCTTTGGCGACAAGGGAATTTCCCTCCGTCTGAAAGGCCGTGTATACAAGGCCACAGTGAGGGCCGTTCTGCTCTATGGTAGTGAGACTTGGCGCCTTCGGTCTAAAGATCTGAGGCGCCTTCAAGTCTTTGATCATCGTTTTCTGCGAAGCATTGCTGGAGTCGGATGGCACCAGCATGTCCGCACCGATGATGTGCGTAGGCGAGTACTAGGTGGTGATAATCATGCTAGCTCCCTAGAACAACAGATAGCACTGAATAAGTTGCATTGGCTCGGGCACGTGCTAGGTATGCCTGGTCACCGCTTATCTAGGAGGGCCTTGTTCATTCTACTAGGTGTAGGGTGGCGCAAGGCTCGAGGTGGACAGAAGTTGACTTGGCAGCAGGAAATGAAGTCACTGACGACCAAACTTGGTGTCGTTGGTCCGTCTCGCCTTCCGGGCTGGAGTTTAAATGACTCGCCTTATGTTTGGCTAGAGACTTTACAGGACGGCTCACAACCGACACCAGTGGCGTGTCTGCTGCCGTCTCCTAATCGGATTGCCTGTTTAGATTGTGTTTGGTACTGAGTTATCTGCGGGGTAATGGCCGATTATGACGCGTGGCAGTGAAATCCGCAAGGAAGCTGTCTCGCCGACGCCGCTTTAGCTTTGCACGATAGCCAGCTGTTTGTGACGGTATGTTGTCTACACAAAGTGTAGGCGCCTTGACCCTGAATGTTTGCTTAGGGCATTAAGGCTTTCAGGTAAGTCCCCCTTCTCTCCCTGTTATTATTCTTTATTTCATAGTTCCTCATGGTTGTATGGCAGCTAAGTATCAGTTCATATGGCTGGTGTACTGCTGTTGATGATGATGATGAGCCCGCGTGCGACTGGTGGTGGTCGCGCGGCGCGCAGCACTGTTCAGTCGTACAGCTGACACAGTATTTATTATTTACAAGAAGTCATTCAGGAATTCAAGTACCTGGTCAGGTATATTAGCGCCCGTAGGATCGAAACTGAGATTAGGGACCGTATAGCAAAAGTTTGAGGTGCTTTTGCCAATTTCCACCACCTGTGTCGCAGACGCATCACTCACTCCCTGAAGGGCAATTTATAATGCAGCCTTCGTTCAACCCTCTTATACGGTTGTGAAACCTGGCCCATCAGGTCGACAGACTCAAAGGCTGGTCATGTTCGACCATCGCTGCCTTCGTAGCCTAGCTCATGTCTGGTGGGAGCATCGCGTCCCGGCGTCGCGTATTTGGCGCAGGAAGAGCGAGTGAGCAGCTCAGAACCATTCTATCACGCACCAGGCTCCGATGGTTGGGCCACGTGCTACGCATGCTAGCACACCGACTCCCGCGACGTGCAGTTTGCGCGCCGGGCGTTCGGTTGGAAGTGGAAGAGGGGAGGACAAGTGACGACTCGGTCGAGAGAAATGAAAACCCTCACTTCGAAGTTGGCGTCTATTGGTGCATCCCGACTGCCTGGCTGGGGTCCTAAGGACGATGAACACCTTTGCTTGGACACACTTGCAGATATGGCTAGGAGCCGGCCCCAAGGGCGTTTGTGTTGTGCGTTCCTTTGTCCATCCCTATCCCGCTTATCTTCCCCTTCAATCACAATCTCATTCCTTAGGTGTAATATAATTTTACGGCACGACAGCCGGCCGTTAGCTCTCCGGAATGATGTCCATCCGTTACTGGGGACTCAGCCGGCGTGCCTATTGTTTTTTTCTTGTCTTTTGTATTGCGGTACAATAGCTGAGGTGTTTTCCACTTACAAATAAAGTGTGTAGCAATAATGATGATTTTACTTACAAGACTGTCGTGGAGTATATTACACCCGCTATAAGTCATATCTTTTGGCTCTCCTTGGCAACTGGTGGCTTTCCATCTGATCGGAAAGTCGGTATCATCAAGCCAATATACAAAGGTGGGAACCGGCAAGACCCTTCTAACTACCACCCGATTTGCCTGACGTCGGTCATAGAGAGGCTTCTTAAACGCACTCTGTAGCGTCGCTTGGATGCCCTGTATCTGATATCGCCCGTCCAGCATAGGTTCCAGAAGGCTCACTCTTGCACCCCCAACCTGCTTGTCGCCAGAAAAAGGTGGGCAAAAGCTTTAGACGTCGGTAAACGTTTGGATGTTATCTTCGTTGATAATTAAAGCGTTTGATAAGGTACCACATGAACGGCTCCACCTTAAGCTCCGGGCTATTAGTATCACAGGGATATCCTTTCTTGGATCGCGGATTTCTTACACGGTCGTTTAATGAGAGTCCGAGTGAACGAAGCTCTTTCCCAGCCTTTCCTGATAACTAGTGGTGTGCCGCAAGTTTCGGTCCTTGGTCCTAAAATGTTCAAAATCTTCTTTAATGACCTTTCTTCTGTGCTTCAAGTGGAGTGTCTAATCTATGCTGATGATCTGAGACTATGGTTAGAGGTTTCTGGCCTCCAAGACGCCGACAGATTGCAGGCAACCCTTGACCTTCTTAATGATTGGTCAGTTAGCAGGGTTTGCCCATTGACCGTGACAAGTGTTACGTCCTCCCAATCGAAACTCTTGAACCCCTCGGCACATACCATGTTGGCGGTTGTCTGCTCACGAATGCCACTCTAGCGAAGGGCCTAGACACTATTGTGTCTCTCAATCTTAGGACAACCCAGGATACTTTGAGGAAAATCGGTGCAGACAACAGGATGTTCAGCGCTATAAGATCTTTCTCTCGATTGTCCCCGGAGATCTTCAAACACCTGTTTGTCTTCCATGTGAGGCCTGTTTTTGAGTATGGCTTACCGGCTGTTTATCTCCCCTCGAGGTTTGAATGCACCATGCTTAAAAGAATACAGAAGCGTGGTTCGAAATCGGTCTCGGTGTTACGTGATATGTCCTACCCTGCTCGTCAACAACAGATGAATCACTTCTTTTTAGATTATCGTCGTCGCCGGGGAGACCTGATTTACACCAGGCGTATTCTTAGGGGGGGGGGAATTGGGGACTGAGTTGCAACAATTCTTCCAGTTGAACACTGAAAGCTCAACGCGGGGACACAATTGGAAGCTGTTTAAGCCGAGAGGCCTCCATGTCCGTCCGGAGATCACTCTATTCACTCGGGTGGTGAACGACTGGAACTCTGCCGGAGCCTATTGTCAACGCGTCCAGTGAGGAAAGTTTTAAGAGGCTGTTGGACCTCCATTTGCTGCGTATGCCGGGATCGTCTTGCTTTCGTTGCAGCTGTAACGGTCCATTGTGAATGCCGTTTCTCAACGTCACGCATCGTCCCTGCTCTGACCGGGATGCGATGAAGCTGACAAGGGTTCCCCCTTCTGCTTTCTACAATTCAATGGTTCATTTCGGACCGTGTTATGCGAGCTAAGATTAACGTATTCAGCCCCCGTTCTTATGAGCAGTACCGTCCCTCATGGCTCTGTCCTTGGACCAGTGTTGTTCGAATTCTTTATTAACGACCTTCCTTCAACACTCCAAACCGAGCTTTTTTATGTGTTGATGATTTGAAGTTATGGATGGAGGTATCCAGCTCTGAGGATGCTGACCGGCTCAAAAATACACTCGATTTGCTACACAATCGGTTAATCAAACGGCAGTTGCCTATAAATCGCGATAAATGTTCTGTTCTATTGGCGCTACGGAACCATTCGGTGCTTAACACTGGCGGTTATTTTCTTAATAATGTGAAACAGGAAAGGGACCTTGGAGTTATTGTTTCTTCTGATCTAAAAGCGATCAAAGATACTTTGAGGAGGGTTGCCGCGGCCAACAGACTACTATGCTCTAACCGAAGAGCTTTCTCACGACTGACTCCGGAAATCAAGCTTGTGATTTCCTCCTATGTGTGTACAATCCTCGAATATGCAGTGCCCGCAGTTCATCCGGTTACAAACTTTGAACATGTCTTGATTGAGAAAGTTGATCGGCACAGTTCTATGTGGATTTTGAGCTACTACACCTGCCCTATCACATTCGTCTCCAGAAATTGAATATGTTCTCTCTGGTATATCGACGTCGCCGCAGCGATGTGATCTACGTCCGGCGCATTCTGCGGAGTAAGATGGGAATCGAGCCCCAAGGTTTCTCCCAGATTACGACTGTTTTCGACCCGGGGCCAATGCTAAAAGCTGTTTAAAGCTAAAAGACTCAGGCTTCATTCTGGTTTTACCCTATCGACTCGTATGGTAAACGACTAACTCCTTGCCTGATTCCGTCGTTAAGGCGCATACCGAGGAATGTTTTGAACGACTGTTGGATTTATTGTACTTACAGGGATCTTGCTGTTTCTTACGAAACTGACAACCTGACCTGTTGATTGCCGTTGCGCAACAACCTGCTATGATTGGGAGGTGGCAGAACTGAACAAAGCTCTTTGCTTATGATCTTTACATTTTAATGATTCCAATGGATCAATTTCCGCTTAAAGTTCACAGTATTTGCAACCTGGAAAAAATTGCGTTCACGGTACATGGTGAGGGTATGTTAGAAAAAACTGTCCCATTGGAACGGCCAAAGGCACAAAAATTGGTCACTCAGGGAGCTCCAACGGTCGCTCCAGCGGACACATTTTGGTCACTCGTGCTATGAGGGCTTGGCTCAAGTGTTATGTGGAATTGCTCTTGTGAAAGGTTTTTGTAGTTCTCTACACGCTTTTTCCCTTGGCTTTTTTGTATGGTTCACTTCCGATATGTTTTACTGATAGTTGGTGCTGTTTACTCTACAGATACCTACACAATTCTACAAGGTTAGCTGCCTTCATTTCTCGTACTGTTCGCGTACACTATTAACTTACTTACAGAAGAATGGACGACTGGGGTAGGACGAGTTAGTGTTGGTGTTCATTGCCTCGTTTCAGACGACGGAGAAGATGATGGCTTGGTCGCGAAAAAGTTGACGGATACATATAACGATGACCTTCTCTTTTCCGTACCAGTAAGTTTGTCGCCGTTTCATCGTGATGAAATCCTGCCTCTAAATTTTTCCACAAGCATTTTCCGTTGTAATTGCTTTCTCTGTTTTGTTAACGTGCCACTTGATCTCTGCTACCCTATTGTTATTCTCACAATATGCTGCGGACATTACTGGGGCAGTAACACAACAACTTCCGCATCTTCCTTTTTGAACAATGGTAAATAAACAGCTAATTTTTTGTTCTCGACTAAACGAGACACGTGCACAGGCAAAATCCTGGTAAGAGTACAACAACTGGTCAAAGAGTGTACATTAGTATAATATGGTTGTCATATATGTTGCTACACAAATGTATGCATATGTGTATAGGCGTGTGTGGTCGTGTTGCTTGGCTTTGTAAATGTTTTGCTGCACCTTTGATTGTGTTTGAACGTGTCGCAAGTGCTAAAGGGATGTTTGACGTCCGTGGATTTGAAACGATTGTACGGATAAGTAAGGGGCGGTGACTAGTTGATTGCGAGTCACAACCACCACGTCACAGTGTTGTTAAACGGACATTTGTTACTTTTTATAGGGACAACACTTGCCAGGCAAAAACCCACCACCTCCTAGAACATTGCCGCCAAACTCTTTGCTGAAATCGGGAAAACTTGAACCACCCAGCTGGCACCACGGGGAAGTTGTTCGGCTAGCCAGCCAATCCACTTCCACCTTTCGAACCTTTTCTATAACGCGGGTGGCAATTTGACGAACAGTGGCTCGGATCAAGAGCTGCATTCGACTCAGCACCATCACCCGCTAACTACCGTGGTTTTATGCATAGCCCGTTTGATTGTTTTGTTTGCCATTTAGAGGCGGTAGACCGTCCAGAAGACCAACCCGCCGACCGTTCGGAGTTGCTGCTTAGTGCATTCTGGTGTTGGAACCGACCACTGCATCTGCTAGGTTAAACACTTGAGTGTTCTCACATATTTCATATTCGCTTATGTTGGTTTAGTTGATCGTCTGCTTCGTTTACCATGACGTGTCGTGTCGCTGCTGCGAAACTACGAGGGGCAAACGCATCAAAACGAAAAACCAAATGGCGAAAGTAAGAAATGAGTCATTGGGTCGGAATTGGGTACGGCTTCATCTACTCCTACGTCAATCCAGGCACTGAAATGTGATGGGCTTCTTCAGCTGCTCGCGCAGTCATGCTCGTAATCATAAATACCGCGGGTGGGTTGAATCTTAATGTAGTACGATAGTTCGCATTCGTTAGCCATCGGGCCACTTAATGGTGCTTTCAAATGCTTTCATGGCCAGTCATATTAGATAAGTTAGTGAGTACAGGTCTCAAATATTCCTAGAATCCTTCTCGTAGAAGATAATCCACACACTCACCCAGGATCGATTGGCAGAATGCGCAACTATGTCTCACTGGTTTGCCGCTGTTCACAGTTCTTGGCGGAATAGTTGGATCCGGCCAAACTCTCCATTTCTGTCGCTGTTGTGAGGACATCTTACGCTACAATTCATAAACATGACTACATTGTCCTGGATTCTACAATGTTCCTTGTGGTTGATCCCAATCAAACTCCAGCAAGACTTCACAGTCACTGGATCTAGACGTATTCCCACTGCTTTGAACATTGGGCCATCGCACCAAAGATCAGGAACGAAAGAGGTCAGACAAATCACCATCCGAATAAACAGTTTGAGAGTATCGTCGGTTCACAAGACTCCGTTGCTAGCACCTACTTGCTCTAGTTCTCGTTCGTTTCACGTATTTTCGCGGCTAACCAGCAACAAACTTATGGTAATTTCGCAGTCATCTCAAAGACACCTGTCTTGTAACCCATCGGTCGCCAATCCGAATCCGCGTAGGTGCGGATGATTTTTCTGCATATCCAGTCCACGCGCGACGCGTGCTAACGATGCGTCGGTACTGTGTGTCGGCGTATTGATGCCTTCCATTAGATTTCACTCTTTGATCCCACAGAATCAGCTTGCACTGTATTTGAAGCGCACTAAAGATAGCAGCGTTTGGATGAATCTTGAACTTTCTGGCTGGGCATCTGTTAATGACTACATTCATCGAGCCCCTGGAACTAGTGACTAGATAGCTCGAGGTCCTATGACGCTCTTATTACTAATTGTGACATATTCGAATGAGTCTCAGTGAAAAGCTACTTAAGTGTTGTCTCACCCTTAGCTTCCGTCGGGATTATTGAGCGCCATTCGAGGGCTAGTCTATTTTTTCACTGTAAACCCCAGCAAACTGGCTTCGACAATATCACGGACTACTTCTGTCAACCTTTCCCGCCTCTCATCATCCCCATCAATACGTTAGCTGAAGGTAATATACACACTTCAGCTTATGTGTCGCAATCCAAAAAGATAAGGCACGAGAGGAAAACGAGATACAATACATGCCATGTAGGGATCATGTGTGAGAACGTGGTCGAAGGGGGAAACTAAAGAGGGAGAGGGGCAAAGTAACTAACAACGCAGATGCCATTGGGGCCGGTTCTTCGCCATGTCAACCAGTGTAAACAACCAAACGTGTTCATCGTCCTTCGGACCCCAGTGCGACCGTCGGAAGACACTGACCGAGGCTAACTTCAAAGTGAGGATGTTGATGCCGCTTGACCAAGTCATCACTTGGGTTCCCCTCCTCTGTTTCCATCCACGCCCCGGGCGCGCAAACAACACATATAGCGAGAGTCGGCGTGCTGGCATGCGCAACACGTGGCCCAACCATCGGAGCCTGGTGCGTGATATAACGGTGCTGAGCGGTTTACTTGTTTTTCCTGCACCAAATACACGGCGCCCAACACGGTAAGTGCTCACGCAGTGTTCCCACCAGACATGAGCTAGGCTGCAAAGGCAGCGATGGCCGAACCTAATTAGTCCCTTTATGTCTGTCGACTTGATGGGCCAGGTTTCGCATCCGTATAGGAGAGTTGAACGGACGATCGCATTGTAAACTCTGCACTTCAGAGCGAGAGTGATGTCACGCCGGCTCCACAGTTGACAGAGATTAGTACAAGCTCCTCGAAGTTCTGCTATACCGTAGGTTACCTCATCTTCTATTCCACTGGTGCTAATATAACTACCGATATACTTCTGGACGACTTCTAGCTGATTGCCATCAAGAGTCGGCGCAGGGATGGGTCCCTGCCAATCTTGGAGGACTTTGAATTTCGAGAGTACGAAGCATAGCCCGAAACGACACAGCCAGTGTTAATCTGCCCAGTGAAGTTTGGCACGTTATGGAGCTGTCACAGGTTAGGGAAATGTCGTTAGCGTCCTCCAAGTCAAGAAATCTCTCATCAGGAGCTAGTGTCCAGCAAACATCGTTTCCATGAATTTTCAATGGCGAAGTTAGAGAGGAAAGCCGAAAGCAGGTAACCCTGTTTCACACCGCTGGAGATATTGAAGTGTAGCCACAGGTTGCCACAAACCCTCATTCTGCCAGAACTGTGCTCGTACAGCGCTCTGATAACAAAAAAGCATCAGCAATACGCCATTACGCAGTACCGACGCTTCGCTGCCGCGCAACCACCACCAGCCGCACATTGGCTAAGGATTCTGCGAGGGTTGCCCGGTCCCTACACAGGCTCGAACTCGCGTTTTCGGATTACAAGACAGGTTTGTGATCCTTAGGGCTACGAGCCGGCTCAGATAATGTTTACATATATATCGGGCACATCTTTCCCCATTAGACAGTCTAAAAGGGCACATCAACCTACGGTATCGAGGACACCTTTGATGTTGAGGAACAAAACTACGGGGGTTGCCAGAAAAGATGGCAGTGTTCCAACCATTGGCTTAATCTGAAGATGTGGTCTATGCAGCCTCGGTTTCGACTAAACCCGGTTTGCTTCCACACGCATCTGATTTTCACAGCTGCCAGTCGGTATGGAGGACGATGAAGGCAAGCAACTTAGAAACAGTTGATATTAGACTGTTTCTTCTACCGTATTTCACACAGGAGCCTCTCTTGAAAATTGGGACTATGATGGAGTGGCTCTAGTCTGTTTGGATAGCCTCCTGCTCCCATAGGTTCACTAGTAAGTGTTACAAATAGTCCAAAAAACAGGTCCACTGAATTTGTAGAGGGCTAGATGAGGTCCATCTGCTCCGGCAGCCCTATTCAATTTCAACCGTCTGACCTCACCTCCGACTTCTGCGTGTGAGGGTGGATCCAAGGAACGTCTCAGGGAGAAGGACGATCAGTGGCCGATAGAGAAGCTTGCAGCTCTCGCTGCTTAAACTACGTTCGACCCAACATTCCAAGCACTTTGGTCAGATGTGGATTGGCTGTCCATTCTCGTCGCATATGGTCTCGCTAACACCAGGTCTCCTGATGCCAAGAGCAGCGGTTGTCTCCATCCCCGAGGCATGATGTGACGACCAGGCTTCGCGGTCTCTTTTCAGGCTAGCACGCAGTTTCGCTCTGGTGGGTTTTGCGAGCCTCGTTGTGTTCGCTCCCAGATGGAATGTATCGTCGAGCATCGGGGAGTTCAAGAGGCTGCGTAGAGACCTAGTGTCCAGGTCGGCAATTTGGTTTGCCACATTAACACATTCCTGCTGCTAATGACAGTGGATATACGACCGGTGAATCTCCACTTTGTTCAGTGGACGCTTACTCAACGGGTGTCAGGGTACTTTGACATGCATTCAGAACGTCAAGTTCCGCCAGTTGGCAAGTATCTATACGCTCACAGCGCCGTTGCGGACGTCCGCCGAAAGGCATCTGCAGGTCGGCGCGAACAAGTGCGCGGTCAAAGTTCACGCTCGTGCTTCAGAGCGAGCGACGGTTTTGGGCACGTGATCGATTTGCGTCCGTGGCTGTTTTAAGACTGGTGGGTGCCATGTCACTCATCTGGGAGTGCTGTATCGGAAGTTAGTACTCACGAGGGTCCAAAACCGTGTTGGTCGCCCAGATGAATCTCATCAACGGACAATTTTACAAGTTGGGCGTTCAGATCACCAGACAGCACTACAGTGTCCGTACTTTTGTGTAACGCCCGTTC